TTCCATGTGGACCTGTGTCTCCACTGCCCCTCATGGGTGCCTGGTGGTGGAATCACAGGGTCATGGAGTGACTTTTCTGAGGACGCTGCCCCATTTCACAGCCCACCTGCCATGTGGGGTTCCAATTTCTCCTCATCCTCCCACATTGGTCCCTGCCGGCTTCATGGATCCAGCCATTCAGGCGGGTATGGAATGTGTCCTGCTGGTTTCAGTTTTCGTTTCCCTGTTGCCAGACTGTGTATGTCCTACCTATCCTGGTTGCCGTTTCTACATGTTCCTTGCCTTCAGCAGTGGCCTCCAGGCCATGTGCCCCCCACCTCCTCCCCAGCTGTGGGCTGCAGACTGAGTGGGGTTGCAGCGCCAGGCCAAGGTCTCCCTGACCCCAGGGACCGTCCCAACTAGAGTCCCGGGGCAATGGGCAGGTGCAGGGAGGCCTCCAGGCCCACCTGCTTCTCCTGGTTATGGGCCGGCATTGAACTGTCCTGGGATGGTGGTGATCAAAAGAAATAGTCCAGGATGGGGCGCCTAGCCTGACGGCTTTGTGTCCCCCAGCCGCTGGCCCTGTCTGTGTCTCTCCCTCTGTGCTGGGTTATGGGTCGCAGGGGGAGATGGAGAAGGGGAAGGACAGAAACCCCTTGCCAAGGCAGGAATGGGAGCTAGGTGGGACCTCAGAGCCCTGCCAGGGTGGCCCTCCAAGTTGGGGGGCAGTCTACAGCATGGTAAAAGGCCCTGGGCCAAGCCGCCTGGGGAGGCAGGCACTGAGGGTCAGCTCTAGGGCAGCCGGGACAGGCAGTGAAGGTTAGGGTGCAGGCTGAGGAACCGACCGCAGACCCAGGAGGGGCCAGCCTTGGTTTCCTCCCCACAGCATGGGGTCTGTGCCCTTTGAGTTGCTGCTATGGGCACCCCCAGGACAGCCGTGGTCCCTGCCAGGAACAGTTGGGCCCAGACTCTGGGGGGCAGCAATTTGGGGAAACTGAGGCTCGGCGTGGAGGGTGCCAGGACAGCAGGGTACAGGCCAGCAGCAGCAGGGTTCAGGCCGGTGGCGGCAGGCCGGCATTGTTGACAGCCGTCTGTGGCTAGAATCCGCCCCGTTCAGTAATTCTCTGCACTCTGCCAGTAATCGCCCTGACTTACCAGGCAGGCATCATTTCCTGAAAGTCAGCCGGCCTTAGGGGAAGTAGGCGCCGGCGGTGACTAAACCAACATGCAAATGCAGCCAGGCGGGCGCGGGCTGAGGGCTGAGGGCCGGCCGGGCTGAGCCCCCGCGGTCATGAGGCAGCTGCTCCCGCTGCCTCCCAGAGACCCGGCCATCACCATGTCCCAGTGGAACAACCAGGGTGGGGGTGGGGAGGCGGGCTCCGTCCGGCTTTTTTGGCAGCCAGGGTGATTCCGCTGGAGTTTTCCGAGCAGAGCCACGTGGGATGTGGGGACAGCCAGGGAGGATAGGCAGGGGGGCAAAAGGGGGCCAGAGCCACCCCACCTGGAGTCTCGGGGGCACTCCAGGCACGGGGGCACTGGCTCCATGGGCCGGGGTGGGGCACGGCTTGAGACGGGCTCTGATGGGACAGGTAGGAATGGTCCTTTCCTGTCCTTCTGTCCTCCCATCCCTCCATCCCCCTTTCCCTTCATCCCCCTCTCCTCCATCCCCCTGACCCCCATCCTCCCATCCCTCTGTTCCCCGGTTTGTCCTCCGGGCCCCTGGATCTGTGTCTGAAGGGCGTTTCTGGTGTCGCTTCCTCAGCTGGGAAGGGTTGCTGAGCAGACCCAGAGTCACCTCCAGCCTCAGGTCTGTCCTCTTCCGTCCTGCTGGGTACTGGTGGGAGCATCGCTGTGTGGGCAGCTCCTCCAGGTCCCTCCAGCTCCTCACTGGTCCAGGGTCTCTGGATGCTGAGAGAACTGTCAGGGTAACCAGCCAGCTCCCCACTCGGGGGCTGCAGTGGAAGGAGCAGAGTGGGGACACATGTCAGAAGGTGACTGGGGGTGGGGTGGACACAGGCTGCTGAGTTGGCTCTGGTGAGGGCCGGGGAGCTGCTGCCCTGGCCTTACTGGGCCTTGGGACCCAGAGAGGGTGGATCTGGGTTCAGGTCGTCTTGCAGTTCTGCTGTGGCTGCCGGGGGTCAAGTCTTGACATGGGCAGGCGCCCTCTCACTCGCTTCCAAACACCCACCCTGGGCAGGGCAGGAGGGGCCCTGGGAGCCCCACCCCCAACCCTGGTGACCCCAGTGAGGCCCCACCTCCCTTTGCCCCTGAGGATCCAGGGGCCCCCAGACGATGCTGGCTGCTCCTCTGGCATCTGGTAGGGACAGGGTCCACAGACTGGGGAGAGGGCACCCACTTCCTTAATAAATTGTACTTTTCAGAACAGGGTTAGGTTTATAGCGAAGCTGTGGATCAGTTCAGGGTCCCCATGGGTCACACCTCAGCTCAGCACCGCCTGCATCCCAGCTGATGGGCTGGTGCTGATGTGTCATCCTCGGCCAGGGTCTGCACATCCCCTTGTCCTCTCTGCCCCAGGACCCCATGTCACCAGGCCCCCTTGGTCTTGCTATTGTCTCCCCTTGGGGGTGGGGGCCTGGGCAGTTGTGGGTGGAGAGCCGGGGCTGGGCATCCTACAGGATGTCCCCAGTCTGGGCTTGTCTGGTGTTTTCTTGTGGTCACCTTGGGACCATGGATTCCTAGGGGAGGGACCCAGGAGGGGATGTGCCCTTCTCACCTGTCACACCAGGGATCCCTGCTGCCAACCTTGACCTGACCTCCTGGCTCCTCCATGGTGGAGGAGGTGTCCTTCCCCTGCACACTGTCCTGGGAAGGGTCTCCGTGCAGCCCTCTCAGAGGGTATAGTCCCCTTCAGCCCAGGGACTCTGCGATAGTCAGGGCTGGCCCCCCAGCCCCGCCCTGCTTCTTGCCCACTGCTCAGCATCTGTTCTGCCTTCAGGGAGCAGGGCAACGCCTCAGGGCTCTAGGTCTGCTGGCTGATGGCCCGGGCCACCATCACTGTGCCCAAACTCAGTGCCATCCACTGGGAGGACCACACAGATGTGGTACCAGGGGATTTCAGCAAAGACAGCTTTCCTTGCCTGTACCCCGACCCCACCCCAGCCAGCCTGCAGAGTCTGGGGACCTCCTCATTGTCCACCAGGCTTGGGATGGGCCACCTCTGACCCCAGCTGACCAGGGATGGGCTAGGGAGCAGGCAGGCCAGACCCCCCAGCCCTCACTGCCTCAGTGTCCCCTGAGATGGGTGTTCTGGCCTGTTGAGTCACCCAGCTTGTGTGAGGGTGCCAGGAGCCTAAAGTGGATCACGGAGCACCTCTTCCCACTCCTGGCGTTGGCATTCCCCTCCTGCTTCCCTTCCTGCTCTGTCCCAACCTCGAAGATTTTATTCACTGCCTCGCCTGGATTTGACCAGGTCACAGGGTCCTGCCACTGCAGGCGGTGGGGGAGGCTGGGGTCTGTCCCCCCAACACCGTGAGACCAGGCTGTGCATGGCGGGGGGCAGGGGCCAGTAGGGGCCTAGTGGACAGAAAGCTTTCCTTACAAACCCCCCAAGCCAGGGCAGCATGCTGTGGGAGGCCATCTTCCCAGGGCCCCCAGCCTTAGACTGGCCGACCTGGCCCTGCCCCTGCCATGCCCCTTCCTGCTGTTCTCCCTGTTCTCTGGGCACGGTGGGTCCCACCTGCCTGTTTGGGTTCCCCTGCCTGCTAGCATGGGAGCATGGGGGTCTGGGGAAGCTGGTCAGTGTCACCTGGAGGTCCCCTCACCCCAGGGCGGGGGCAGGTGGTTCCCATCAGTGGGAGGGGAGCCCCAGAAACACTCTGCAGGGGGGTGGGGCAGGGCTTGGCACTGCCTGAGCCAGGGTGCCTAGTCTTAGTGACCTGGGGCTGAGGGGACATCCCCGTCTACCCCCCAACCTAGCCAGGAGCTAGCTCAACTGCGGCCTCCAGGCCCCAGCCAGGCACATTGGGTGGGCCCCACTCTCCTGCGTCCCTTCCTCCCCAGAGTCCACTGATCTTGAGTCCCTAGGCTGGAGACCCAGCTGGTCTGTCCCGCCCGCCTTCCTTGCCTCCCCCACCCCCCACCACAGGTTAATGGGACACATGCAGCCTTCTTGGCAGCCTGCCTCAGCCCACCTGGCTGTGGCCCTCCGCCCGCCCTGGTGGACGATGACCTGTGGAAGGTGCGCTGGGCTGGGTGCTCCCAAAGGGCTTGTTCCCTCCCCCTCCACCTTGGCCCTACCTCCTCGGCCCCTTCCTGCTCGAGAAATGCTCCCACTGACATGCCCTCTGGGACCACAGGCTGTCCATAACTCCTGCCCCATGTCAGGCAGGCTGGAGGGCTCCTTCCCTGGAATGATCAGCTGAGCGTGCCCCACATTCAGGCACTGAAGGGCTAAGGGAGGTGGTTAGGGCCTTCACCTTCCCAAGCTCCAGGCACTGGGGGGGCCCCTGCATCTTGGCATCATCCCTTCACAAGGATAGGTGTGCCCTAAGTAGACTCCAGTGTGTACTTGTGGGGTCTGCTTTCTTTCACCTCCCCTTACTTTTCCCCTTTTTTTTTAAAACAGAAAAAACAGCTTTATTGCTATAATTCATGTACCATACAGTTGACCCATTTGAAATGTGTAATTCAGTGTTTCCAGTGCATTCATAGAGTCATGCAAATGTCATCTCTGTTTAGTTCCAGAACATTCCATTACCCCCCCAAGACGCCCCTTCCCCAAGAGCAGTCACTCCCCTCTCCTCCCCAGCCCCTGACCACCAGGAACCCACTTACTTTGTGGATCAGCCTGTTCTGGACGTTTCCCATCAGTGGAATCACATGCTGTGTGTCCTTCTCTGTCTGCTTCTCTCACTGAGCATCATGTTCTGAGGGCCCATCCACGTGGTAGCGAGTGTCAGGGCTTTATCCCTTTGTGTGGCCAAGCATCATCCATGGCATGGCTGGGCCTGTGGTTCTGCCTCTGTGGCCTCACAGCCGCCCATACCTAGCCTGTCTTCCAGGACTCCTCATACCTCGATGACCTCTCCAACGCTTCCATCTTCTCCTCGTCCGTGGACTCCCTCTCGGACATAGCCGACACGCCTGACTTCCCGCACGCTGACAGCCTCAGCCAGGTGCCTACCATCTGGGACGTGAGCACCGGCCCCTCCGCCCATGACAAGGTCAGTACACCCAGCCTCCAAGCTGGCAGCCATGCCAAGGCTGCTCAGACCCAGACAACGCTGCTACTCAAGGTTGCTCGTGTCTCCCATGTGGGCCTGAAGATGCAGGGGCTCCCAGGGTGAAGGGGGACTCTGGGGAGCACAGTACACACTAGTGGATGTTGGTGGATATCTTCCCAGCTGCCCTGACAGGTTCAGTGCCCGTGAAACTCCTGGACCCTCAGGAAGGGTCAGGGGGATGTGACATGCCCAGAGCAGGTGCAGTAGGCAACCCAGGCCCAACCCTACCTCTGGCTGCAGGGGCCCAGTGGGGCAGTAACCCTGCCCTCCCCTCACCAGGACCCTCCCGCTGGCTCCTAGCATCTGCCAGGCCCAAGCGGGCAGCTGAAACCCTACACGTACTCCTGCTGCGGCCAGCAGGGCTGCGGGAACCTGACTCAGCCTTCCAGGAACCTGAGCCCAAGGCTGTTTGTTTGTTTTTGTTAATTCAAAAAAAAGAAAAGGGAAACGGAATTGAGAGTAGGTTTCTGATCTCCTTGTACATCATTTCCATTTTATTTTCAAGAAAACTTTGTGTTTTGTTTTTTTTTAACTTCCCTGGTGGTCCAGGGGCTAAGACTGTGCTTCTACCATAGGGAGGCACAGGTTTGATCCCTAGGGAACTAAGATCCTGCATGTGGCACAACATAGGCGCCACACACACACACACGATCCTGCATGCGGCACAACACAGGCGCCACACACACACACTACACTTTGATTAAAAAAACAATTTTGTTTTTACTTTCCTTCCAATTTTATTGAGATATAATTGACACATGGCAGTAAGTTTCAGGAGATGCACACAGCACAACGATTGACTTGCATATGTCATGAAAAAGGACCACCATAAGTCAGTGAACATCCACTGTCTCATATCAATACAACAATAAAGAGATAGAGGGACTTCCCTGGTGGTCCAGTGGTTAGAACTGGACTGCTAACCAGTTGTCACTGCTGGAGGCCTGGGTTCAATACCCGGTTGGGGAACTAAGAGCCCACAAGCCACACAGCATAGCCAAAAAAGGAGAAAAAAAAGAAGTAGAAAACCATTTTATTTTCTTGTGCCCAGAACTCCTTGCATTTACTGTTAACTTTCATATACAACATACAGCAGTGTTGTTTACTTACCATGCTTCATGTTGCATTCCTAGTTCTTCCTTATCTCGAGCTTTGTGTGCCCCAGGTACTTATTTATGCAGCAGATCTAAGTGGGCAGGCAGCAGGAGGGAGGCTTGTAGCCAGCTGAGGGGCTTGAGGATAATCGGGCAAGCCCTCCTGGAGGCTGGGGGCCTATAGAGGCACTTCAACCCCACCTCTGGCCTGCAGGCTCATGCCCCCTCTCCCTGCCTCTCCCCTCCAGCTGTTCCCGCCCAGTGGGCCATTTACAGGCCTCGAGGACCCTGTGTCCTCCCTCCCCAGCACCCCACTTCTCATCAGCTACCAGGTGAGCCAGGTACCTTCCCTACCCCTGCCCACCCCTCCTAGGCACTAGGGAGGGCCACTCAGGCACTTGCTGTGTGCAGAGTCTGGGCCAGCTTGGGAGCATGGTCTATTTTACAGACAGGGAAACTAAGGTCCCAGGGAGGCACCATGCTGCGGGGGGCAGTGGGGGAGGGTAACATCTTCCCATCACCTGAGTCACTGCGCTGGCTAGTGGTCCAGGCTCCTGCCCCTGACAGGGAGGCTGGCAGGTTGCAGGGGACAGGACAGTCCCCAGTGTGACAGCACCTCTCCTCAGGCTCAGAGTCAGCCTGAGGAGGACGACGAGGCCGAGGAGGATGAGGCAGAGGAGCTGGGCCACGCGGAGACGTACGCTGACTACGTGCCATCCAAGTGTGAGTGTCCTGCTATGGAGACCCCCAGCTGCACAGCGCCCGAGGCCTGGGTCCTCTGGCCTGGGGCACCAATTTTGGGGGTCTCTGAAGGTACTAGGGAACCTTAAACTGCCAGAGCAGGTGTGCATGCTGTGGGTGGGCTCCTGAGAGACTCTTCGGTAATCAGGGTTGTGATCCTCACCTGGCACAAAACCAGCGGCAGGCCGAGGTTACAATGGAGAGGCAGGCCACCTTCTTCCGCACCTGGGAGGCTTGTAGGAATCTGCCACCTGCTGGCACTAGGCTGATGGGCCCTCCCCTCCCCTTCCTGGGGCGTGCCCCGCCCACCCTGGCCCCAGGTGGACCTCTAGTGCTGTGCTCAGGCCCGGGCCACGCCCCTGACCTGCCCTCTCGGCCCATCCCTACAGCCAAGATTGGGAGGCAGCACCCGGACCGTGTGGTGGAGACCAGCACGCTGTCCAGCGTCCCGCCGCCGGACATCACCTACACCCTCGCCCTACCCTCCTCGGACAGCGGGGCCCTGTCCGCCTTGCAGCTGGAGGCCATCACCTATGCCTGTCAGGTGATCCCGGGGTCTCCCACCGGGTCTGTGTCCTGCGTGGGGATAGTCTTAGTGCCCACCCTGACCCTGTCGCACGCTGAACCTCCTTCCCCCACCCTTGCAGCAACATGAGGTCCTGCTCCCCAGCGGGCAGCGCGCGGGCTTCCTCATCGGAGATGGCGCGGGTGTGGGTAAGGGCCGCACGGTGGCCGGTGTCATCCTGGAGAACTACCTGCGGGGCAGGAAGAAGGCCTTGTGGTGAGCTGCCTCCCCTGGGTGCCGGGCGGGCCTGCAGCCGGGGAGGGGGCTCCTGAAGCCTACTGGCCCGCAACCCCAGGTTCAGCGTCTCCAATGATCTCAAGTACGACGCGGAGCGCGACCTCCGGGACATCGCCGCCCCCGGCATCGCGGTGCACGCACTGAGCAAGGTGGGTGGGCTGCAGCCCCAAACCTGGCGCGGGTCGGGGTCTCGGAGCCCAGCTCTGGCCAAGCCACCTCATGCACAGATGTCCGCCCTCTCCCCCAGATCAAGTACGGCGACAACACTACCTCAGAGGGCGTCCTCTTCGCCACCTATTCCGCCCTGATCGGTGAGAGCCAGGCCGGTGGGCAGCACCGCACGCGCATCCGGCAGATCCTGGAGTGGTGCGGGGAGGCCTTCGACGGCGTGGTATCCTCGCTGGGATAGGGGCGGAGCCGAGCGCAGAGGCGGGGCTAGAGGGGCGGGGTCTAGGACAAGTGGCTGGGAGACCCTGACAAGTCCCATCCTGGCAGGCTCTGGAGGGGAGGAAGCGCGGGAGGAATTCCCGGCAGGGAGGGCCTGGTGTCACAGGCTCGCCCTCAGTGACCGTTGCTACCCGTCCTTGGCTGTCTGCCTAGGCCTCCTGGCTCCAATGGGCCAGACCCATGCCCACAGGATCAGGGTGGTGTTGGCTGAGACACTCCAGGCGGTGAGACTCAAGGTCTGGAGATGGAAAGCAGTTCCTCCCCCATCCTCATCCAGCCGCCTAGTAGTGGGGCTGAGTGGGCCGGCCAGGCCAGACGATCCAAAGGGGAGCCAGGCTAGAGCCCACCCCCCCCCCGCCCCCGAGCTTGGCCAGCTGGTGTGGGTCCCAGGCCTCTCCCTCCTTCACTGTTAAGCCTGAGATCACTTCCTTTTTGGTCACACCAAACTGTAGGAAAATGAAGTGTAGGAGAGTGTAAGCTAGAGTCTGATGTTTGTGGCTTGTCCACCTCTTGTTTCACACACTCCTCTTACCAGTAACAATCTTCCAGAGGACCCACCTTGGCTTCCCCACAGCTGGGCATTCAAGGGCCATGACTCCTGGGGATTTCTGCAGGGGCCCACAGAGGACCCTCAAGCTCTATCCTCCCAGGATCCGCCCTTGTTCCCAGAAGTGGGGCAGCTGCATTCTCCCAAGGCTCCCCCTCCCTTCTTGATGAGAGGAGACCTGAGGTCCTCTGCTCAAAGGACAAAGTCTGTACAGAGGCCCTCAAGCAAGACACAGCAGCAGGTCTGCTGATGCATCAGCTCAGTAACAGCATGAAAAATACCAAGGTTAACCTCACACCCGGGGGCAGGCTGTTGGCATCAGGCTAACCTCACCCATGTTCCCACAAGTTCTCCATCGACCCTATGTACATTTGTGTGGACACGTGCACACACACGGCACTCACACCTTGTCTTTCAGATAGGTTTGTGACAGACTTGTCTGTAACTTGCTCCACTGAAAACACGAAGAACTTTCTATGTTTTCCAACTTCTGTGAACATCATTGGGGTCTAGGGCTATTTTCCAGTGCCCCTGGTAGCCTCACACCCCAAGGACCCCGCCCTGTGGCCAGAGACCCCAGGCACCTTCTGGAGTTCCCCCAGCCAGGAAGGGAGGCAGTGTGGTGGGTCTGTGGGGCGGCCTGCCTTCCAGAACAGTCCTTAACCCACGCCTACCCCAGATTGTGTTTGATGAGTGCCACAAAGCCAAGAACGCAAGCTCCACCAAGATGGGCAAGGCTGTGCTGGATCTGCAGAACAAACTGCCCCTGGCCAGGGTGGTCTATGCCAGCGCCACAGGTGAGGGCCCACTCATTGATGGGTGATGCCTGCCCCAGTGCAGCTGTAGGGGCATCTGATCTACAGCCCACTCCTGCCAGCCACCTTGCAGCCTGTCTGCAGAGGTACCAGCCCCTGTCAGGGCCTCCCCTCTGCCCACTGGTTGTGGGCACTTTTCCAAGAGCCTCAGGTCCCTATTGCAGGCCCTCATGCCATTTCTGGGGCCCCATCCAAGGCCTCCAACCTAGCCAGGTCAGAGGAGCTGACAGCAGCCCCCCTCCCCTAGGTGCCTCTGAGCCCCGGAACATGATCTACATGAGCCGCCTGGGCATCTGGGGTGAGGGCACACCCTTCCGGACCTTCGAGGAATTTCTGCATGCCATCGAGAAGAGGTGCGCTCTTCATGCCCACGTGATGGAGGTGGGGCCGCAGGGGGCTCTGCTTGTCATATGTGGAGGTGCACCCCTCCCACCCACTTTGCTGTGGCAACCAGGGGGGTCTTAGAATGAAAATTGCATGCTTTCTCTGCCTAGTACTTCCAGTCATCTCAGGGGAAGGGCCCTCCCCTGCCCCCGGCCAAGGCAGACCACTTTCTCTTTCCAAGGCGCACCAGGCCCTTGATGACCACAGGGCCTTTGCAAATGCTCTCTGCCCCACACACCGCACCCCGTGCACCTAGCCCTTCCTCACTCTTCACAGTGACAGCCCCTACCTCGCTGGCTCCATCTCTTGGGACCCAGCATGTGGTCCCTAGCTGGCACCCAGGCAGCCTGTGCTTGCCCACAGGGGTGTGGGCGCCATGGAGATTGTGGCCATGGACATGAAGGTCAGTGGCATGTACATCGCTCGCCAACTCAGCTTCTCTGGTGTCACCTTCCGTATCGAGGAGATCCCGCTGACCCCGGCCTTCGAGCGCATCTATAACCGGGCAGCCCTGCTGGTGAGCCTCTGACCTAACAGACAGCCTCGGTGTCCCCTTGGAGTTCTGCCCCATCACCTTCAGCATCTGCCCTTGAGGGCGCCACTCAGATTAGTCAGACCGTAGACAGGAGGAATTGGCTGGCCCGCCCAACTTGTCCTTGGCGGGAGCCCAGCATCTGAATCCCGTTCAAGCTGGGGATGCTGTCAGACTCCCCTCCCCTTGTCCCCAAGGTGTGATCCAGAGCTGGTGGCCATTTCAGTCTCTCTCCATGGGGCCATTCTAGGTGTTGCAGGGTGTGGAACAGCCTCTCTGGCCCCACCAGGTCAATACCAAGAACCTCCTCCCTGGTGACAACTACAGATGCCCCAGACATGGCCTGCTGTCCCCTGGAGGCCAGTGGCAGGAGGCAGGCATGACAGATATCCCCACCACTCTGGAGGTGTTGTCCATTTACCCTCTGACTGCATGAGCGCCATTTTCACCATGGCTTTCCCAACGTTATACATTTTGGATTTTTAGCATTTCTGACCACCCAGTTATCGCCAGGGCCTTTGTATAGCCCCACTTGCAGCCCCCATCTTCTGTCCCTACATTTCTGTGGGGCAGGGGCCGGCAGTAGCAAGCTGAGCTGGGCATGTCGTTGCAGTGGGCCGAGGCCCTGGGCGTGTTCCAGCAGGCAGCCGACTGGATCGGCCTGGAGTCGCGCAAGTCCCTGTGGGGCCAGTTCTGGTCAGCCCATCAGCGCTTCTTCAAGTACCTGTGTGTGGCCGCCAAGGTGCACCGGCTGGTAGAGCTGGCCCAGGAGGAGCTGGCCCAGGACAAGGTGAGCTGGGCTGGGCTGAGTCCCCAGAAAGAAGTGGGCACAGACTTGTGTGGAGAACGGGGTTGTCTGGGAGCTGAGGCCAGCCATTGGTGCCAGGTTAATGTCCCAGGGGATGTGGGCTTGTTGGGGTCTGGCAGCCTGAGAAACACAGGGGAGAGAAGACAGAGTAACAGGCCAGCCCCAGGTTTCCAGCTGCAGGGGTGGCTATGGGGGCAGGGGTGCCAAGCCTGCTCACACACACCCACCTCCGCAGTGTGTGGTCATCGGGCTGCAGTCCACAGGTGAGGCGCGGACCCGGGAGGTGCTGGGCGAGAAGGAGGGACAGCTTGATGGCTTCGTGTCCGCCGCCGAGTGAGTGACACTGCAGGGCCCTTTCCCTGTGTGACCAACCCTGGGGCCGACCTGGGGCCTAGCCCTGCCTGTGACCCCAGCCGAAAGAGCCAACCCTGACCCTCAGAGACCTTAGGTCCAGCCCAGGTTGTTAAGCCAGAAAGGGTAACCATGTTGACCCAGGACTCGGTGGGCGCTGGCCCAGGGTCCCGAGACTTTTGAAAGAGTCTTCCCCAGGCTTGCCCACTACGTGGGTACCGGGCTGTTTCAAGGACTACACAGATTTTAGGGACTGTCTGGTGGTCCCTGAAGCCCCTGGCCTCCCTTCTCACCCTGGGGGAGGATCCCAGCATGAGGCCCCTTGCCCGCTCTGCCTCATCCCATCTTTTCCTACATGGTCCAGCATGTCCTCCCTTCCACTGGGCCCCCCACCCTGGGATGCTCCCCTTCTTCAGAGCCATCAGAGCTTGCAGGCAGAGCCCCACCCAGCCCCGCACCTACATTTCATCCATTGCCCACCAAGTGTGGGTAGGACCCCGGTGGGTCCCCCGTCCCCGGCCCTGCAGCTCCTTCCCCCTCTACCCATCTTCTCTGAGCCCCTGTGCCCAGACCCACCCTTAGGGCCCCTTAGTGCTAGGCATCTACTCCCCGCAGAGCAGCCCTTACACATGGAACTCAACCCCTCGGTGTCTCCCAGTGAAAACAAACTCTGCATCTCACTTTCAGAGGCGTCTTTTTGTCGCTAATTCAGAAGCACTTTCCTTCAACCAAGAGAAGGCGAGAGAGAGGAGCAGGCAGTAAGAGAAAGCGTAAGTGCCCACCACCCGCCTGGACCTTGCCCCTATGGCCCTTCACTGCTCCTGCCAGCCCTCCAGCCTCCCTCCTCTCTGACCCTCGACCTGGGTTGGTGTGCTGCCACACAGCCACATGGCCTGAGCCCATCCCCACCCCAACCCTCCAGCGGAGCTGCTCAGTCAGCAAAAAACCCCAGTGCTGCAGGATGGCAGTGTGGCTAGTGCATCCCGAAGGCCTCCAGCCTCATCCCCAGAAGGCAGGGCCTCGTATTCCCTAGGTGAAAGTGAGTCTGAGGTTGAAACCACACTGGTCCAGGGGACCAGGATGGAGCTCTTACAAAGCACCCCAGGATAGGGGAGTGGCCTGAGGACCTACCTGCAGGCACACACTGCACCCTGTTCTTGCAGGCAAAGGCTGAGCATCCTCTCATCAGGGGGAAGTGAGGCTCAGAGAGACCAAGCAACTCACCTGAGGGCACACAGCCAGCCTTGGGGCCCAGTCCTGCCCCTCAGGCTTCCTGGGAGCACCCTGCAGGGTGTCTGGGACAGTATCCAGGTTACTTGGGCCCCTGGACCGCCATCCCCCAGGGCTTGGGCATGTCCTGTGGCTGACCCACCCAACGCCGCCTTGTGAGGTGGGGCATGTGGCCTCCCCAGGCACCACCCAAGGGCATGCTGCTATGTCAGGAAGTCTGGCAGGGTCGGTAACATGCCCCCACCAGCATCAGGGCCCAGACATGCCACAGCTGCATAGGGGGAAGGGGCTTGGGCTGTAAGCCCTAACCATCCAGGCATGCAGCCTGTCCCTGGACCACTGGGAGTTTTCCCGGGACCAGACCCTTGACTGCTTCTCTGCAGGGCGGCCACGGGGCCGTGGGGCCAAGGCGCCCAGGCTGGCGTGTGAAGCGGCGGGTGTGATCCGCATCAGTGATGACAGCAGCACGGAGTCAGATGGCGGCCTGGACAGTGACTTCCACTCCTCCCCCGAGTCCCTGCTGGACGACGATGTGGTCATCGTGGATGCCATCGGGCTCCCGGCCGATGACCGCGGTGAGGCCCAATACCGCCCTCCCCATCCTCACTTCTCAGGCTCTGAGCAGGAAGTCAGGGGCACATGAGCAGGGGCAGCCAGGGGTTCGGGAAAAGATTCTGGACCCCTACTACCCATGGACTCCCTCATCCTTAAGGGCCCATGGCTGGGAGCAGGGCTGTGGACAGGCGGCCTGGCCCAGTTCCCCCTGACCCTCCGGCCCCACAGGCCCCTTGTGCCCCCCACAGCGGGACCTGCACGGCCCCGGTGTCCTGGAGCGGGTTGAGCGGCTGAAGCAGGACCTGCTGGCCAAGGTGCAGGCGCTGGGCCGGGAGCTGCCAGTCAACACCCTGGACGAGCTCATCGATCAGTTAGGGGGCCCAGAGTGCGTGGCCGAGGTGAGCTCTGGTGCCCCCTGGTGGCCAGTTTGGTGGACGGGCCCTGGTGCCACTTCAGATCTATCTTGGCCCCGTATGGTCGGGTTGCAATAAAAAGACTCAGGAAGATGAAGTGACAGTGCCTGCTGACCACCCCATGGGTACCCGAGCCTAGGGAGAGGCCAAGTTCTGGCAGCCCCCACCACCCACCCACACCCAGGAGCCCCAGGAGCTAGGTGGCAGGACAGATGGGGAAATTGAGGCCCATTGGGACCAGCCCCTGGGTGGCCATACCAGCTGACAACCTGTCCTCTCCCCCCACCACGACCATAGATGACCGGCAGGAAGGGCCGCGTAGTGTCCAGACCTGACGGGACAGTGGCGTTCGAGTCACGAGCGGAGCAGGGTCTCTCCATTGATCACGTGAACCTCAGGGAGAAGGAACGCTTCATGAGTGGGGAGAAGGTGGGGGCCCTGGGGCACCCCGTATGTGGCTGCATGTGGGCTGAGAGGCGCAGGGCTCTTGATAGACTGGCTGGAGGACCACCAGCAGTGTGTAGGGGGGTGTGCTGTGCTTGTGTGCCTGAGTAGGGCCCCCTAGCCCTTGCCAGTCCCACTTTCAGTGTGAGTCGTCCAGGCTCTCTCTCAGTGCCTGGCCCGCTAATGCTGAGCCACCCCGTGGGAGCTGATGTCTGCAGGGTCAGCAGACTCTGGGGGTGACTCAGGATGGTCCAGACTCCACTGTAAGCCCACAGAGGCCCCTCAGGGACACACATACCTGACTTTCCTGTGTGGATCACCCTGAATGCTTCCAGTTAACCCAGGGCACATGGGGTGTGGGGCAAGGTGGAGCAGGCTGCCCGCCCTGCCGCCCCTCTCACCCATCCCCGACCATGTGTCCCAGCTTGTGGCCATCATCTCAGAGGCCTCCAGCTCTGGTGTCTCCCTCCAAGCTGACCGCCGCGTCCAGAACCAGCGGCGCCGGGTGCACATGACGCTGGAGCTGCCCTGGAGTGCTGACCGAGCCATCCAGCAGTTTGGTGAGCCCTGCTTCCGCCCCAGGCCACCTTGCCCCAGGGGGCCCACCTGATCCCTAAACACCCCTTCTGCCTCCAGGGCGGACCCACCGCTCCAACCAGGTCTCTGCGCCGGAGTACATCTTCCTCATTTCGGAGCTGGCGGGGGAGCGTAGGTTTGCTTCCATCGTGGCCAAGCGGCTGGAGAGCCTGGTGAGCCTGCAGGCAGGGGTCGGGCTGGTAGCTCCCCAAGGGAGGTGGGCCAGGGAGGAGCAACACATAGGTAACATGTGACGGCCTCCCATCCTGGGCAGGGGGCTCTGACCCACGGGGACCGCCGTGCCACTGAGTCCCGGGACCTGAGCAAGTACAACTTTGAGAACAAGGTACCCGAGGAGGTGGGGCCCAGGAGAGGAGTGTTCCTGGGGTGCTGAGACCTGGGGTGCCCTGGTCTCTGACATGGCCCTTGGCCCTCCCCGCAGTACGGCGCCCGGGCACTCAGCTGCGTCCTTACCACCATCCTAAGCCAGACGGAGAGCAAGGTGCCACTGCCCCAGGGCTACCCCGGAGGGGATGCCACCTTCTTCCGCGGTGAGCTGGTAGACCCCCCCCACACATACATACCAGGGGCAGAGGAGATGCTGGTGGTGAGGGGGAGCCCCGTAGGCTGTGGCCAGCAGTCGTGTGAGGCTCTCCCTCCCCGCAGACATGAAGCAAGGGCTGCTGTCAGTGGGCATTGGCGGGCGTGAGTCCCGGTCCGGCTGCCTGGACGTGGAGAAGGGTGAGTCCCTCACTGGCTGGCACCTCCAGGATGGGGGGAGGGGGGTGGATATGAGGGGAGAGGGGGAAGACAGGGAGGCAGCCTGGACACAGCTTGAGGCACCCTGCTGTCCACAGACTGCTCCATCAGCAAGTTCCTGAACCGCATCCTGGGGTTGGAGGTGCACAAACAGAACGCACTCTTCCAGTACTTCTCTGACACCTTTGACCACCTCATCGCTGCCGACAAGAGGGAGGGCAAATACGACATGGGCATCCTGGGTGAGTCCTGTGGGGACACCCTCCCCTGGGCCGGGCCCCAGACCACCATTCACCCCGCTCACCTGCTCACCCTCCACAGACCTGGCCCCTGGCATCGATGAGATCTACGAGGAGAGCCAGCAGGTGTTCCTGGCGCCCGGGCACCCGCAGGACGGACAGGTGGTCTTCTACAAGGTGAGCAGCCCTGCCCCGCTCACCGCCCCTCCCCCCGCCGGCTCACAGCCCTTCCCATCACTTGACACCTGCGTGCCCGCAGATCAGTGTGGACCGCGGCCTAAAGTGGGAAGAGGCCTATGCCCGGTCGCTGGAGCTGACGGGCACCCACGACGGCTTCTACCTCTCCTACAAGGTGGGTCCTCCAGCGAGCCCCCAATGCTCTCCCAGGGGCAGGACCCAGGCTGGTGGGTTGGCAGGAGAGGGTGGTGGCCATCCTCACGCCCTCTCGGTTGACACGCCTCGGATATGCGGCGCGCCCCCCTCCCGCGCACTGCCCCATCCAGGTCCGCGGCAACAAGCCCAGCTGCCTGCTGGCCCAGCAGAACCGCGGCAAGCTCTTCACCGTGTACAAGCCCAACATAGGGCGGCAGAGCCAGCTAGAGTCCTTGGATAGCCTGAGCCGGAGGTTCCACCGGGTAGGTTCCCGGGGCCCCCTCTGTGCACTTAATGCTCCAGTGTCCAGCAGCCCCCAGGCCGCCCCCTGCTGCGAGGTGGGGGATGAGCAGCCCTGGGTCCTTTGCGCCGCAGTTTCCCGCCCGCCGACCAGCTGGGGAGTTCGGACAGGCTCCTGCAGGGGCTGAACCCGCTGTGTCCTCAGGTGACGGCAGAGGAGGCCAGGGAGCCCTGGGAAAGCAGCTACACGTTCTCGCTGACGCACTGCAGCCACACCACGTGGTGAGGGCCTGGGGTGGCCTGGGGGGACTGTTGGGGGCACGCGCTCGCTTGCGCGGCAGCTGGTGAGAGCCGTGGTCCCTCGCAGGAACCGGCACTGCCGGCTGGTGCAGGAGGGCAAGGACTGCGCACAGGGCCTGCGGCTGCGCCACCACTACATGCTGTGCGGGGCCTTGCTGCGCGTGTGGGGCCGCATCGCCGCCGTCATGGCCGATGTCACCAGCAGCAGCTACCTGCAGATCGTGCGCCTCAAGACCAAGGACAAGAAGAAGCAAGTCGGTGAGTCAAGGGGGTGGGCTGGGGGAGGTGGCGACCTCAGCCCCGCCCCGCAGGCCCTGATGCTCCCGCCCCTGCCCCGCCCCCACAGGCATCAAGATCCCAGAGGTTTGCGTGCGCCGAGTCCTGCAGGAGCTGCGGCTGATGGACGCTGACGTGAAGCGCAAGCAAGCGTGCACTCGGGGTCTCCTTGCACCGCCGCCCACCCCACGCCCGCTTGCTTTGCCCTTCGGCCCTGGGGAGGTCCTGGACCTCACGTATAGCCCGCCGGCCCAGGCCTTCCCCACGCCCTCACCCTTCACCTTCCCGGCCCTGGGCCCGGGCCTGGGCCCAGGCCCCGGCTCCGGCGGCCAGCTGCTAGGCGCCCCCGACACCCCCGACGCCCCAGCTGACCCCGTGGCACTTCTGCACCAGGGCTGTGAAATCAACTTTAAGGAGGTGCTGGAGGACATGCTGCGCTCGCTCAATGCCGCGCCGCCCCCTGAACCCCCCGGCCCTCTGGGTGCGGGAGCGGCGGGGGCACCGGCCGGTGGAGCACCAGAGCGGCAGAGCGTCATCCAGTTCAGCCCCCCGTTTCCCAACTCCTAGGTCCAGGCATCCTTCCCGAACGAAACTTATTTATCCGTAATAGGCTCCCATCTACACGGGGAAGAGGGTGGCTAGCCGAGCAGGTCCAGGACCCCAGCCGACTACTGAGAGGAGCAGGGCCAGGGGCCCCTCGTCCAGCCTCCTGAGGCCTCCATTGCAGTGCCTTCCCGCCCGGTGCCTGGGCAGACCCCCAAAATGCTGTCCGCCCCGGGGGGACCTCCGAGGCCTTGCCTGGTGGGCAGAGGCCTTGTGCAGCCCCCACTCAGGATACTTGGGGGCCAGGCAGGGCCTGGGGTGGCGGTCCTTCTTCTCTGTGCCTCTATCCTCTACTGCCCCCCTCCAGGCCTGGGTTGGGGCTCCCACCCCACCCACCTTACAAGGCCCTGTTCAGGCCTGTACCCCTGACATCCGCAAAACTGGGTGGCCCCAAGAGCTGGAAACTCAGGAAATCCCAGGTGCTCAGGGCCCCACCGCCTCTGGGGGGCTCCAAGGGGCAGATCCCCTCTTAATATATGCAACCCCTCCCTGCTCTCTGTGCCCTAAATTATTGTCCAGCCACCTCTCTCAGGGGCCTGGAATCCCTGCAGAGCTGGTGGCTGGCCCCCTGGTTTCTATGTGTATTTATAATTAATTCAAGTGTATATATGTAAAGAGATCTTTTTTAAATATATGTGCCTTTTCACTACTTCCCAGGCTGTCTGCTGCTGCGACCTGCAGGGCAGCGGGGCGGGAGGAGGGCAATGGTGGCGGGTGCCCTGCATGTTCCTTTCCAGTGGGGTGTGGGGGAGGTCAGGATGGCTGCTGGCCCTCATCTCTGCCAGCTCATCTCACCCACAACAGCGCCTGGCCTTGTGGATGCCTGGGGCCAGGCTAGGGGAGACCCCACCCCGCTGGGCCCTTTGTCCAGTGTTATCCTGGCACCTGGGCAGCAGGCCAGCTGCCTTTGAACTGACTATACCAAACCCCTAGAGCCTTGGACCAGATGCCCTGCTCCCTGCCCACTAGAGATGTGACCCCACTGGGCCCCTCTTGGTGATGTTGAGTCCCATTCCTCAGAACCCCTTGATCTGGACTGACTGCCTTCTCTGCCTTGGTTTCTTCCCAGGTCTGCTCCAGATGGTGTTGGGTGTGGCAGGCAAGGCAGCCCAGGGACAGGCGAGCCCAAGAGTTGGGCTCAGTTTGGAAGGCAGGACGGGATGCCTAGCCTATGGCCGGGAAGTTGGAGAGGGACTAAGGAGCAGTCAGGAGACCCTGCTAGAAGCAGCCAAGGGTGGTGGAGGTGGCTCTTGTCCCACCAGCCAGACCTGGCCAGTCCCCTCCCCCTGTAGGTCACCACTCTTGGGGGAAGGCTGCTGATCTTCCTGGCTGGTGTGGGCAGGAAGGGAGCCTGCTCAGCCATTCTATAGCTGTGCGCCCGCCCACCGCTCTCACAAGATGGCCCCTTTGAGCAGCAGGCAGGCTGTACCCACCCACAGCCCTTTCCCAGGGAGTGGGGCTGTATCCGCCAGGTGAAGCCCATGGGCAGGCCTGACGCCCGGGCTCTGTCTTCATCACAAGGCCGCATAGTGAGCAGGCCCTGCCAGGCATGGCTCGGTGCCCAAACCAGCCTGGCCTGATGCCCAGCCTGGGTGCAGCGGGCCTCCAACAGCAGGGTCACGAGTCCAGGTCCCCTGATCTCCCACACCTGGGTACACTAGAGACCAAGGCCACCTGGGCTGAGAGCAGCAGCCAACGAGGCGGCATTACCTCCCCCAGGATCAGCTCGGCTGGGCTGGGCTGGGCTGAGATTAACAACCCCAGGCAGAAGGACACGCACAGCCCTCTGAACCCCGAAGGAACTCCACCTCCCACTTGCCCCCACCCCCTGAGCCCTGGGTTAGCAAAAGCCAGGAGCAAGCCAATCTGTGTTGTGTTGTACATTTTATTCCCACAAGGCAGCCAGGGGTGGGGTTGCCAAGCCACAGCCAGGCCAAGGGACCTTCCTCCGGCAGGAGTGCACGCCAGGTTCTCGGGTCTGCCCCACCAGGGGCTGGTTTTCAGACAGACCGTCATAGGCACCGGGGGAAGGCTCCTCGGAACACAGGCAGCAGGTTTGGGTAGGGGCAGCACCTTGTGGAGCTAGAGGTAGCATGGCAGGTCCTTCTCTATCACCTGCGGGGGAGAAGGAGGTGAGGGGCGCCTTTTCCTGAGTCCCCCCAGCGGGCTCCCCGGACAGGCACCTACCAGGGGCTCTTCCATGGGACCATACCGCTTCACCACACAGCCATTCTTGTCAATGAGGAACTGCAAGGAGGCCACCGTGGGGCTGAGGTGAGACAGTGGCCCCCACCTGTCGTCCCCATGGCTCTGAACTCTCAAAGCAGCACAGCTGTGGCAGGTGGCTATGTCTGTCCACCCAGCCAGGGCATCTAACCCCCCTTACCTTGGTGAAGTTCCATTTGATGGCGCTAAAAGAGAAGCAAGAAGTTGTGAGGAATCCCTTGGCAGTTGCAGATACCCCCTCCACTGCCCTGGGGAAGCCATCCTGTCCTCCCCCCGTCCCCCAGCCCCCAACTCACTTTCCCAGCATGCCCCTCCCCTTGGGCTGGACTTTCATCCATTTCCACAGAGGGTGGGCATCGTCCCCATTTACACAGATCTTGCTGAACATATCGAATTTGACGTTATAGCCAGCGGCAAACTCTTTGATCTCCGCATTACTCCCTGGCTCCTGTGTAGACACGGGTTGGGGGGGCGGTGAGTGGGGAGGGGCCTATACCCCCTTCAGTCCCCGCTTCCACAGACAGGTCCTCTCCCCAGCCAGCACAAAGGGACACACAGGGACATCCAGGGCCAGCCACGACGCACCTGCCTCCCAAACTGGTTGCAAGGGAAGGCCAGGATCCGTAAACCACACTCGGCGTATCGGGCGTGCAGGTCGACCAGCTGAGTGTAGTTTACTTCAGTCTTGCCTCATTGCGAGGCCACATTGGTGACGATGCACACGTGGCCCCTGGAGATGGGATGAGGCGGTCAGGTCAGGGCCACGACCTTACCCCCGCCGCCCCCACTAAGTGGGCAAGGACCCACCGGTACTTGTCCAGGTTAACCATGCGCCCGTCGATGTCCTTGGCTGAGAATTCGTGCATGGAGCGAGCACAGCGCCAGTCGTCGCGGGACGCGCACTGCAAGGCAAGAGCTGGTTGAGCGGCCGACTGACCTCGGGGCGTGGCGTCCGCAGCCGCTCGGCCCACTCGCCCAGCCAGGGTACCTAAGGGAGAAAAACCCGGGCCCTGGGACTAAGCAAAATGTGAGGCTCCTCCTCAAAGGCTCCCCTGTACAACAGGGCGCATTGGGCCGGAGTCATTGAGACCTAGGGAGGGCTCGGGACCCTGCCAGGTGCCCCAGCGGATGGGGGAGGCCGCTGGGTGTGGGGGGCCTCTGTGCGCACCGGGTCTTGGGATTCAGTGGCGCAGCCGCTCTCCCCGGTCGGGGGTCCCGCTAGCCCAGGGCTCTCAGGAGCTGGCCTCCTCCGCCGGGGGCGCGCCCTCCTGCGACGGCATATCCGAGCCCTCCGCCTTCGAGGGGCTCGGCGCCGTCGCCCGGCCGGCAACCGGCGCCGCTGCCCGCGACGACCCGGGGAGCAGGCGGCGGCGCGGCCCATGCCCGCAGGTCTCTGACTGAACTTGTGCCCACCGAGAGCCGGGCCCCGGGGACAAAGAGCCGGTAGCCAAGGGCGCCAGGCCGCTCCTCTGTGACGCCGCCGCAAGGGGCCCCGGAGCGCGCAGGGCGGGGGAGGGGCAGTGACGACCCGTGGCGCGTGATCCCGGATTTCCACCCCTTCGGCCGCCCCGCTCTCCAGGCCGCAGTCGGGGAGCCAGAGGCCGACGGCGCCGCCCGCAGCTGCCCCGATACAGCAGCCTGGGCGCGTCAGGGGCTTCCAACAGGGGGTTCTGACCGCCCAGCCCTGTCCCCAGCCCCCCGTACGCCGCCTCGGCCCCCGACCCACACTCGGACCGTGACCCCCGCCAGCGCTCTTAGCCACGGTCCGGATGGCCGCGGAGGGGGCCGCTGGAGCCCCCCGCCCAAGGTCGCCAGAAGGCAGGTCGCGCGCCCGCCCAACGGCCCGCTGGCCGGCCGACGGCGCCGCACTCACCATGGTGCTAGCCAGGCCCGGCGCAGCCAGAGCCCCGCAAAGTAGCGCTGGCTTCAGCAGGCGATACAGACGGCTAAAGCTCATCTCGGCGGTGGGGGGCCCGGGAAAGCAGCGCTCCTCCCCTCGCCGAACCGACCAATGGACGCGCGCCGGTGGGCCTCACCTCCCCGCCCTACGACACGCCCAGCAACACACTCACTGGTCGGATGCTTAGGCGTCGCAGACGCGTGCCCACACCAGCCAATGGGAGGCCGCAGTGAGGCTGGCGGGGCGGGGCCTGGGCCGGGCTGCGGTTTTTGTCGCTAAGTGTGACTGCGCATGCTCATGCGCGGGCGGGCGGTCGCGTCCACGCAGGCGCCGCGGAGGTGGGTTGAGGACAGTTATCCGCACTGAAGGATGCCCGACAACTTGAGATACTACTGGAAGCCCGTGTCAGGGGATCGGGGTGGTGGGGGGAAAGGTTGGCTCGAACTCTCAGAAAACATGCCTCAGCTTACTGAAAACGTATTTGTTTCTTTAAAATGTAAATAAAACCACGCTGGGCGTCGGACTACCCCCACTCGGGCTGCGGTGTCGCTACGAGGGCCTGGAGGTCACCGTTGGCGACAGGCCCGGATGGCGGTGGCGGTGGCGGTGGCGCTGCCGCAGGATGCGCCATCAGCGCGCGGCCTAACGTCGCCGCCCTTGGACCTTAGCTTGGCTTAGCCGCTTATATAAGTGAACGTGAGCTGTGGGCGGGGGAAGGGAAGCTTAGGCAGTTACCTTGTGGTCCCGCCCCCTTCTCTGAGCGGACGCGCAGGTGTGTGCTTAGAAAGGAAAACACAAGACCAGAGGGATCTGCTGTCACTTCCAACGTGACACAGCACCAGTGCACGCGGTTGGGGACAGAGCGCCCACTGATCTGGCTCCTGGCGCATTTCCACTTGAGGCTCAGGCGTTGGGCCACCGCCCAGAGAGCAGGCCCACCCCATTCTCGGGACCTGAGTCACGGAATTCCACAGCCCAGCCCGCCTGGCTGCCCCCCACCCCCAGCCGCGGAAGGACGTTGACCTGCGGTCAGGAGGATGGTTTCAGCTTGTGCTGCTGGTCAATTTCTCTCTTCTTGGATCCTCCCCGTGGACGTTTCTGCAGAGGCCTGGGGGCAGAACTGTTGGGGCTGGGCTCATTTGGGGGAACTCCCCCCCACACACATACACACACACCCTGCAACCTAGGCCTGCCCCAGGGGGCTTAGTAGGCCGCATTTGGTGGCAAAGGTGACAGGATCCCTGGGGCCAGGTTGCCACACTCCTGTCTTGCACAACAGCCTTCATGTATTTCTGCCTCTCAGCCTGATCAACCAGAGCCGGTGAGTTCTGAAGTCACATCTTTGCTGGAGCCCCCATTGTCTCAACTTAGCTATCTCACTTCTCAGGAAATGCCCCCTCACTTCCGCCCCGGGTGGGGGGTGGGCAGCACTGGGTGTCAACGTCCACACCAGCCAGTCTGAGTGGCCCTTAGAATGACACAGCTGTTCCTAGTTTCCCTTATGGTGGGATCTGTAACTTTGTCATGACTATGGCCACCCTCTGCTTGGTTACTTGAGGGTTTCCAGGAAAATAGCTTAGGATGACTCCCCCTCCCCATGGAGCCCACTGCAGGGGAGACTGGGCAAGGTCTCATCCCATTCCTGACTTCATACCAGCTACAGTGAGAGCAGAGGGGGCAGGACAAGCTGCCGGCTGTGGTTCCACTGGCTCTGGGAGGGCTTTGTGCCTGGGGATTCGCTGCTTTTCCAAACATTCCTTCCCTTACAGAGGAGACAGTGGAATCCTGGGGAAGCCCCAGCCAGGCTCCAGGAAGGCGCCCCTGTGGTGGCCTTTGAGTTTAAAGTTCACATAAGAACAACAACAAAAAATTCACATAACATAAAATTCACCATTTTCACCAGAGCATACAGTAAAGTGATTTTTAGAATATTCATAATGTTGTGGGATCATCACCACTATCCAATTCCAGAACAATTCTTATCACCCCAAAATAAACTCCATCCCCATTTGTAGTTACCCACCCCAACCCCTGGCACCCACCATCTACTTCCTGTCCCTGTTAAAATTCCTGTGAGTGGAATTAGACAGCACTTCTTTGCTTTGTGTCACTTAGGTCATTCAAAAAGAAACCCTGTCCCCATTACCTGTCTCCTCCATCTCCCTACCTCAGCCCCTGACAACCATGAATCTACTCTGTCTGGGCAGATTTGCCTGTTCTGGACTGTTCACATCAATGGAGTCAGGTACTAGGTGGCCTCTTGTGTGAGGCTTCTCTCTACGAGCATCATGTTTTCAAGGTTCATCCACATTATAGCGTGTGTCAGTGCTTCCTTTCATGGCTGAGTAATATCGTATGATATGAATGGACTATATTGTGTTTACCCATGTATCCATTGATGACTATTGTGCTGTTGCACCATTTGGCTTTGTGATGCTGTATTAGACTTCTTGCGTGGGCGTATGTTTTCATTTCTCCTGGGCATGCACCCGGGAGTGGAATTGCTGGCTCACATGGTCACTTTAAGTGTTAAAAGGAGCTGCCAGGCTTCCCCACAGCTGCTGCTGGATTTCACTTCCCCGGCCAGGAGTGTGGGGGTTGTGGCCTGATTTCTGACCCCTGGGCTCTCCCAACTGGCAGAGCTGCATGGTGGCAGGTTCCCAGGAGAAAGTTGCAACTCCATGTCCCATTGTTGAGGTCATGCAGTCACAAGCAGAATTCTGATTCATGGGCGATGGGGTGGGGCCCACCTGCTCCTGTGAGCCCATTCTCCCCTCTTCCCTGCCCCAAGTAACAGCAAGGTCACCTAACATCCCCTACCACCCATACCTGGACCTTCCCCGGGTTACGTCCAGGCTGCCCTCAGGAGCCTCCAGCAGTTCTGCCCCCTCGCCCACTCAGATTTGCCCATCAAAGACACTCTTCTGTCTTAAAACTCACTCTAGGACATCCCTGGTGGCTCAATGGTTAAGAATCCACCTGCCAATGCAGGAGACATGGGTTCGATCCCTGGTCTGGGAAGATCTAGCATGCTGGAGGGCAACTAAGCCTGTGTGTCACAACTACTGAGCCCAGGCACCCTAGAGCCCGTGCTCTGCAACAAGAGAAGACACCGCAATAAGAAACTTGTGCACCACAACTAGAGAGTAGCCTCCACTCACCACAACTAGAGAAAGCCTGTGCTCAGCAGCTAATACCAATGCAGCCAAAAATAAATAAAACCCACTCTAGACTGCCTCTCTCCCCGCTATATCCACATCTCCAATTTCTTTCCTCCCATAAAGAAAGGCCCCCCTCCCTGGATCTGCCCTCTGTGGTCCAGTCCCCTGCTCAGTCTGCAGACTGCTTTGACAGCTGCTCCATGCCCCCTTCTCCAGACACCTCCTTCACCTGGCTCCAGGATACCTGGTTTCTACCCATCCTCTATTCTGTTCCAGGAACACTTATGTAGCGCCGGCACCCTGCAATCTTCAGCCAAGTACATACGCAGTGGGTGCTGTTCTTGCCCCTGTTCTACAAAGGGGGAGGGGGACATTGAAGCACAGAGAGGTTAAGTAATGTGCCCAGGTCACACAGCCAGCACTGGAGCCCAGGTAGCCACATCTCTTTGCTTTCTGCTGTTTCCTCCCCTCCTCCCAGCCTCAGGGCTCAGGCCTGACTTCCCATGCGCTCCGTGACCTCATCAGACTCTCAACTCCAGTCTGCACTGTGCGCCCACAACATCCACGTCAGTCTCCACTCCAAGCTCATCCTGAGTTCCAGGCTTGTACCCTGCTGTCCCCTGGATGTCTCCCCATAGGGTTCCTCAGGAGTCCCAAGCTCACCATGTCCAAGAGCTGCTCCTGATATGCCTCCTACACCTCCCCAGCGAGGTCTGTTCCTCCTCTGCTTGTCTCTGTGTCTCTCCACATCCTGTCCACCTACAGATCCTGTGAGCGCTGCCTTCCGGACACCCTGGACCTGCCCACAGCTCACCCTTCACTTGAAGCCTCATCTATCTCTGGCCAGGATGGTCCTCCCTAGCCCACTCCTTGGTCTCCCTGTTTCTGCCCTGCAGAGATGCTGAAAATGGCTCCAAACGAAAACTTCTCAAACCCAACCAGCAAGGGCTCCCAGGATCTGCCCCACCTGACACTAACCCACAGGCCTCCTTGCTGCCAACACACTAGTCCTCAGGGCCTTTGCACACACTGTACCCTCCACCTGATACATTTTACTCAACATCCCCAGGGCTTCTACCCTCTCACCCTTTGGGTTTTTGCTGGAACCTTCCCTGACCACATTTGAGACTGCTCTATTTTTTCTTCCACAGCACTGTCTCCTTCTAACACGCTGTATCATTTACTTATGTCCACTGTTTCTGTCCTGTCTCTCCCTGGCATGTAAGGATGCTTGGTCTGTTTTGTTCCCTGTCCCTTTGGCTCCTCATTAAATATTGAATCATTGAATTAATATATTACTGAATGAAAAGTTACTGACACAAGTAAGCTGGGCTGAGCAGGCCTGAGCAAACCTCCTGAATGAACTCGGAGGGGAAGGGCCGATGCAGAGGTTGTGCACTCTTGGGGGTCTGCGGCGTATCCAAGCAGGGGCTGGGCTGGGGCTCAGGGGACAGGAAAGGGGGAAAAGAGAGATGGGTGCATTTCATAAGCACCAGGAACTATACCAAGCTCCTCCCAAGTACGAGGATCTCTTTAGACCCTCTAAAGTGGGGGGACACGTTATTCTTTCCATTATACAAAACGGAAAACGAAGGCTCCACTCACACCTCCTCAGTCTCCAGATTCTAAACAGTCTCTGCAGATTCTAAACAGTCTCTCCAGACTGGCGTTGAGCAAAAACCACCACTCCCGAGAGGCCTTGCGTCAAAGCATCGCGAGAACTTCTGAGGGGCGGGTGGGCGGTGCTGTTTGAAAGCTTCTCGCGCAGCCAACCGCAGCTTTAGTTAGGCTAGGGCTGCCCTTGGCAGTGCCGCTCCCGAAGGTCTCTGTATTCAGGCGTTCGCCTGCGACAGCCTTGCACGGGTAGACTACGTATTGGGGGCCTGATCAGGACTCGACGTAGGCACGGTGGGCGCGGGTCGGGCCGGTGGCAGGCTCTGTGTGTGAGATCGGCGGCAATCATGGACGACGAGGAGGAGACATACCGGCTGTGGAAGATCCGCAAGACCATCATGCAGGTGAGCCGCGCGGGGGCCGCCCTCCTTGGAGAACACGGTGAGGGCGGGCCTGGCTGTGCCAGACGAACTGGGCACGCGGCGGCCGAGGCGTGAACGGCGGGTGCGAAGACCCGCTGATAGGAACGAGCCTCTTCACTCGCAGCCGCGCGGCTGGAGCGGAGGAGTCGAGCCCCAGAGCCCCCCGAGAGGGGCTCAGGATCTCGCTCGAGCTGGAGGGAGGGAAGGCGGGAGACGCTGGGTCGCCGTGTGTTTGTGTTCCTGGAAGGTTGTGGTGTTATAGCCCCTGATCCTTGAAGTCCTTAATCAGTAAGAGTTGGTAACAGGCCAGACTAGAAGTTCAGGCAAGGCTTTGTTGGAGCTTATGGTGCAGCAGGAGGGAGCGAAAACAAGCAACAGGCGCCCTTCCTAGCTCGTCTTGACGGGTGAGGGTGGGCGCGGGTCCAGGGGTCATGCCAGAGTGATGAGTTGGGTGGTCTGCCCGCCCTCTGGGTGTTGCAGTGTGCAGGGATCATGCCTGGCACCCAGCTTTTGCTCCGTGCACCTCAGAAGTAGCAGTGTAGTTTATGACTTTTTGTTGTTTATAATTTGCTCCAGCTGGGCAAGTGCACAGTTATTTTTAGTCCCACATAGTTTCTGGGTATTCTGTTGCTGGAGGAGACATTTGTCCAAGTGCAGGCGTTGCCGCAAAGGGCCGCAGCTCCCAGTCTGTCTTATCAGCACCACCTTAAGTATATAACACAGAATCCCGGGTTCTTGACGGTGGAAGGAACCCTGGTGGGCTGGTCTGACCGCTGTCTGGTGGCTACATAGATGCCTTGCCCACCAACTTGGTCTCAGTGTCACAGCAGTCATACCAGCTTTTTCTGTGTACCACATGCTTTAAGCTACCCTGTGAGAGGGGTCCAGTGTGATGCCACAAAGACTTGGGGCCTTGATCAAGAGCACCCAGCCGCCTGGGAATCGTGCTGGAGCTAAGGCCGGGCCGTGACCCAGCCTCTCCAACGCTTGGCAGAGCTAACCAAGACAGGGCTGGAACAACTGTGCTTCTACCTGATGGTGTCGGGGCCACGGGAGAGGAGACCCAGGTCTCTGAATGGAGATTCGGCGGGGGGTGGGGGATGTGGGCAGGGCTGGGTGGCATCTCCAACCTTCCTTTCTCTGTCCGGGTCCTCACCTAGTCCGTGTGATCACAGAGCCCCAGTTTCTGAGCAGGACCTTGAATTGCTGAGGCTCAGGCTTTCACCTGGTTTCCCAGCCAGCACCCTCCCGGCCTGCTGTACCTGTCAGACCTACGCCCTGGGGCCTGGCTCTGGACTCAACATCCTCCCTTGCATCTCAGGCCTTTCCCCAGTCTCCTCTGCGGTGGCCTCAACCCACCGGAGCTCTGGCTGCTGTCCCACCTCCACTGTGCAATCATCTGCCCTTTCTCTCTGCAGCTGTGCCACGACCGTGGCTACCTGGTGACCCAGGATGAGCTGGACCAGACACTGGAGGAGTTCAAGGCCCAGTTTGGGGACAAGCCCAGTGAAGGGCGTCCGAGGCGCACGGACCTCACGGTGCTAGTGGCGCACAACGATGACCCCACCGACCAGATGTTCGTCTTCTTCCCAGGTGAGGGCTGCTCGGGGCCAGCTCACAGCAGCCACCTGCTATGTGCCCCAGAGTCAGGCACCCATCCTCATCCTTCTGCCCCCTGCCCTCCTTGCTGTGGGGACCCCTTCTCCAGCTTCCTTTTTCTCAATCACCCACTCATTCTCTCTGGGCCTAAAGATCACATTTCCAAATACAGTTTCATTCTGAGATTCTAGGGCCAGGATCCCAACAGAGGGACTTTGGGGATAGAGGGGGTTAGTGGAATGGGAAGTGAGGAGAGCAGCTTGAGGGGGCGGATGTACTACACACAGACCCTGGGGCTGCCTTAGGCGCTGACCTGCTGGGCTTCTAGGGTCCAGCTGTTCTGTGGCAGGCCTTGCCTGCTGCCAAGATCGTGAGGACCCCCACTGCTGCAGCATGGAGATGGGTGATATGTGTCTGGCAGGACCATGCTGTCTGGGTCATCTCACCTCAGCTCATCTCTGAGAACCCCAGCCCTTGTCTCATGAACCCCCAGACTACACGACTTAATCCAGGGCTTCCCGAACCTTAGAGCCACTGAGCCCTGGGCAAGCCCAGACTCCCAGACCCCACTTCCAGAAGAGGTCCCTGAGGTCCAGGGGGCCCAGGGCACCTGTCAGCTCCCATGTGACCTGGAGGCAGCCACCCCCCCCATTCTGGGAACCAGTTGCCTGGTTCTTGCTTTGCACACGGGGAGGCTGAGGCCCGAGAGTGGGAGTGGCACCGCAGTGCCTTGGCAGAGCCAGGTTAGAACCTGGGTGCCTGACGGGAAGGGGCCCCTCAGCTCTGACCAGCCTGTGCTCTGCCTGCAGAGGAGCCCAAGGTGGGCATCAAGACCATCAAGGTGTACTGTCAGCGCATGCAGGAAGAGAACATCACGCGTGCCCTCATTGTGGTGCAGCAGGGCATGACGCCCTCTGCCAAGCAGGTAAGCCTGCCCCGCTGGGGTGGGATGGAGCCTGGCCAGCACCTCTGTCCCCAGGCCCAGGGACCGGCTGCCACACTAGCTCCCAGCAACTCTCAGAGCATCCTGACAGGTGCTCACCTTTCTTGATGTGAGACCAAGGCCTTATCACTGTGCTGAGATCCTGGGCGGAGTTGGATGGGGTTTCCCAATTTATGATGCGAGATGTCTTTCTGAGCCACAAGGGTAAACCCTGCTCCACTTCCAGGGTGCCAGCTGCCCAGGAGGAGGAGCTGGGTTAGGGCGGGCCTGGGGGCCACACGGGGGTGGGCGGATGCCCCTGCTGCACTTGAGGGTTGATGTCTCTTCCAGTCCCTGGTTGACATGGCACCCAAGTACATCTTGGAGCAGTTTCTGCAGCAGGAGTTGCTCATCAACATCACAGAGCACGAGGTAAGGGTGCGGGGTCTCGGGTGGGATGAGACTGGAGAGCCACCCCCCAGCCCCTCACCTTTTTAGGAACAGCAGACATCTTGGGGGCCCCCAGTGTGGAAAGGAGGTAGGGCGACCCAGCCTTCAGTCAGAAGTTGGGGGGCAGGGTGCAGTTTCTATCTCCCCTGGTGCCCCGGGTCCCAGGATTGTGCCCTGTGGCCCATCTGCAGGGCAGGTGTGTAGGCTCCAGACACCCACCCCTTCCCTCCCAGTGTGGAATCAGGACTGGCGCAGACACCTGGAGCCCGAGCTGTACCCCTCCCCTGGGGGCTCCCAGGGTCTGCTGCCCCATGGAAACCGGGTTCTCTTCTCATAGCTGGTCCCAGAGCATGTGGTCATGACCAAGGAAGAGGTGACGGAGCTGCTGGCCCGGTAGTATCCTTTCTGGCCCCTGACTGGGCCCAGCTCCTCTCCCCACCCTGCCTTTCACCCCAACCCCAGTCAGTCCAGCAAGGCCTTTTCCCTGACCTGCTACCCAGTAAACTCCGAGAGAACCAGCTGCCCAGGATCCAGGCAGGAGACCCTGTGGCGCGGTACTTTGGGATAAAGCGCGGACAGGTAAGAAGCCCTCCCAGGGTGGAACTAGAGCCAGGGCTTCTGGGCAGGGCGGAGGGAACCCCAGGCTGCTGCTCCTGCGCTGCTCCAGCTCTGCTTCCTGCCCCTAGGTGGTGAAGATCATCCGGCCGAGCGAGACTGCGGGCAGGTACATCACCTACCGGCTGGTACAGTAGCTGCCTGTGGACAGACAGCTGGCGTCGAGGGGCCAGGCAGTGGCATTCATCCCACTCCTGTGAGCGCGCCCCACCACTTCCGTCTCTGGAGGCAGCCCCAGTTCCGGCCTGGTTGTGCCCAGCTTCTGTGACGATCAGTCACAGATCACATGATTAACTGCCTGTTTCTCTCCCAGCATGTCCCCTGGGGGACAGAGAGACGGTCGTGACCACCCCCTCACTCCACCCCACCCCCGCCACTCCTGGCCAGGAGTGTGGGAGCTGGTTGCCTTGTGAACCTTGCCTCTGCTCCCCCTGGATCCTAGGGCGCTTTGCCTTGCGCCATGGATCTGCCTTTCCTGGGCTGAGAGTGAGTCCCTGCAGCCTCTCCTGGATGCCAAGCCCTGGCCCTGGATCCCAGCTGACGGTGCCTCTGGAGGGGCCAGGACACCTCAGGGTGGCCCGGCATTCTCTGGCCTCAACTTGCTGTGTCCCCCACGGTGGCCCTGATGCTGCCTGTCCAGGGGCTCTGAGGACAGTGGTGGTGAGATGGAAACTGGGATTTGGTTGCTTTGGAATGCTGGGCATCTTAAAGAATTAAAGCTATTTTGAGTAATAAGTTCACTCATCTGAAGACCAAGGCAAAACAACATTGGGTTTGCTGTGAGCAGTCTTGCTCAGGCTCTAAGCCACTCCACAGGGTCACTGCCCACTTCCCCTGGAGGGGTGGGCAGGGGTGGGGCTCCAGCATGCCCTCTAGCTTTGCTTCTTGGTGCTCTTCTTCCATAGCAGTTGGAGGTCAGACTACCTAGTTTTCCTCTATACTAACTTCAGAGGCCTCCCTCCCCAGGCTAAGTGCCATTGTTTGTATTTTTAATTAATAGCTTTATTGACATGCTATCTACGTACCATACAGTTAACCCGTTTAAAGTTCATGGTTCTGTGATTTTTAGTACATGCACAGTTGTGCACCACAGTCAACTGTGGAACATTCCATCACCCTAAAAAAAAGCCCCATCCTGTTAGCAGTCACCCCAGCCCAACTACCACTAACTCTGTCAATCTGCCTGTTCTGGACCTTTCCCATCAGTGGAATCACACCCTGTATGTCCTTCTGTGTCTGCTTCTCTCCTGAGTATCGTGTTCTCAGGGTCTGTCCACATGGTAGCGAATGTCAGGGCTTCTCTCCTCTTCCTGGCTGAGGGACACTCCTGTGTGTGGAGGGACACTGTGTTTCTTCTTCATCTGATGGACCCGCGTTATTTCTATGGTGAGTAGTGTTGCTGGGAGCGTCCAGGTACACATTGCTGTGGTTGTATTTATTTTTCTGGGTGTGGTGTGTACCTTGGAGTAGAAATTAGTCTTGACAGAAGCTCTGGTCACTCTTTGGAGAAGCTGTCAGACTCTTCCCTGTGGCTGCCCTGTTTCTCATTCCGGAGCCCCATATAGAGGTCCCAGGGTCTCCACCTCCTTGCCAGCACTGGTTCTTATGGCCTGGGGGGCGGGGAGGGGGTACAGGGTGGCCAGTGGTGGCGCTGTGGTTCCAGTTCCCTTGCCAGGTGCTGGTGGTAGTGAGCATGGGGCTTGCCAGCTGCCTGTGGGTTACCTCAGATATGTGTCTGTGCGCAGGTCCTTTGCCTCATGTGTAACTGGGTTATTTGTCTTCCATTACTGAGTTTTAGGGGTTCTTTATACATCCTAGGCACAAATTACAAAACAGTTTTCCATGTTTTGTATTTCTTAGGTGTCCCCATGTAGTGTTTTTCTGACTGCCTTGGGTCTTAGTTGCAGCATGTGTGGGATGTTAGTTCCCCAACCAGGGATCAAACCACCGCCTGCTGTGCTGGCAGGTGGATTCTCAACCACGACCCCAGGGACATCCATCCCCCTGCAGTCTTTATTTGTGGGTCTCAAATTCTGGGTTTACTCCTGGGCATCGTGTGACCTGGGGTGATCACTTTCCCACAGACAGATGGTGCTCTTGACGCTGTTTATTGAGGAATAGTGCTGCCCTGAGTTTCCACTCTCTTGTAGTGAATGCATAGACCCACGTGAGTCTGTGTTGAGGTCCTCTTTTCATTGATAAATTTAGGTGGGTTTTTTTTTTTTTATTTTAAATTGGAGGATGATTGCTTTACAATACTGTGTTGGTTTCTGCCACACATCAACATGAATCCGCCGTAGGTATATATATGCCCCTCCCTCTGGAACATCCCTCCCCAAAACTTAGGTTTTAAAATCATAATTTTACAGTACATCTTAACAGGCAAACAGGTCTCCCCTTTCTCCAAAACAGACATACGTTGTTTTCCAAAACTGTCTCAGCCAGAATAAGCCAGATGTAGAGAGAAAAATTCTGATTCCATTTACCTGGAATCTTAAAGGAGTCAGGTCCACAGAGACAGAAGTAGATGGTGCTGGGGGGTCAGGGACTGGGAGGAGAGAGGGAGTTGGTGTTTCCTGGGGACCAGAGTTTCAGTTTGGGAAGATGAGAATGTTCTGGAGATGATGGTGGGGATGGTTGCACAACTGTGTGAATGTGCTGTGCTTGTGAACTATGCAAGTTAAAATGGTAGAAACAGTAAACATGTAGTTTACAGTCTTGGATGTTCTTAGATTTTTTATCTTGCTAATGAACTCTAGAATCAGTGCATTGATTCCCTGAAAACTCCTTTTCTGGTTGGGGGTTTAGTGGGGGGTGGCTGGGTGCAGGCCTGTCCACCGGTGCAGGGCCTCGGATGCAGGTGTGGACATTCCACCAGCGGTACCAGCTCTCCTTTGGCCCCCCGCCCCCAACCCCTGCTTGTTGCTTGCGCATCGGTTCAGCTGCCTGTAAGTCCCTGAAATTGGTCCAGACACCAGCCTCAGAGCTTCAGGAAGTGGGGCCCTTCCCCTAATTGAGCCTGAAGGTGGCACATCCAGTTAAAGTCCTTTGGTGGGGTTGCGTCTGGAACTGTTAGCAGGCCAAGCCGGGCTCCTCGCTGGCACTTGGGTGCCTGGAGCAGGGTGCTTATCTTACCTCCTCCATGGAGAAGTGGAGAGCCCCTCTGCCCTGAGGAGCACCTGGAAGTGTTCACAGATCTATTCACTCATTCTTCTGTTTTAAAAGCTTAGGGGTCAGCATACTTGTTCTGTAAAGGCCAGAGGGTGAGTGTCTTGGCTGTGCTGGCCAGGTGGCCTTGCTGCAGTTACTCAACTCTGCTGCAGGGCAGAAGTGGCTACAGGTCACATGCAACCAGAGGGTACGGACTGGGCCTTTATCTTGGTTTGCAAAACTGCAGGCAGTCTTCTGAGCTCTCAGGACGCTTAGGCAGGGGCAGAACTCTGACCACCACAGCTGGTTTTACCTAAGCTTGGGGAGGACTGCTGTTTTGGAGAGCTGTCCTGTCAGAAAGGGAGGCCTAGCAGGTTTTACCATGATGGGGTGTGAATCCATGTCATTCATCTCGTGAGTAGTTGGGTCTCTGCTTAGCCATCCCTGGCCCTCCAGGATAAACCTGTAGGAATGGAGGCAGAGCCTCGCCTCTTCCTGGCTATGCTGTCTCGGACAGTGGCTACTGTCTCCCTGAGGCTCTTCAGTCCGTGTGGGTTTCCTGAGCCAGGAGTGCAGGGAAGTGGTGCCTTGTGTCTTATGTCCCAGGGCCACCTGGGCTCACACGCCCTATGGGGTTGCCCTGCCATGTGGTGGAATTTCTATTCACAGCTTCCCCAGTTAGGAGCTGGGAACAGTGCTCAGGCTGCTGCTGCCAGAGGAGGCAGGCTCAGGTTGAAGACTTTATTGTATGCAAAAAGAAAGTACAGGTTGGAAAACTCCCATCGTGGGTACTTCCTGTAACGTAACACCAGTCACCAAACCCGCTCTTCAGTAAGAGCCAGGTTGTCTTGAGGCCGGCCAGCCCACTTTCCGCAATGCTTCCAGCCCTCCTCCCAGGTGCCCTGTGACCTCCTCGGCCTGGCTCAGGGTAGGCAGGGTCCTCCATCACAGCAAGTTTGAGAGCGGGTGTGCAGAGCAGTGCAGGCAGAAGCTTCTGGGAAGGCAGATCAGTAATGCCCCGGCTGCTGTGGCCCAAAAGAGAGGCCTCGCAGTGACGTGTCCACAGGGGTGGGACCTGCCCGCTACCCCAGCTACACAAACTCCGGCTGCCTCTTGCAGCTGTTGCCCCCTACCAACCGCCCACCACGCAACCTCACAGCCGGCAGCCAAGCTGCGGCCACACTGTTGCACCGGTTGGTGGCGCTGTACTGGTTGGTGGTGGTGTACTGGCTGGTGTTGTTGCACTGGTTGGTGTTGTATTCGGAGAGCCTCCGGGCTGGCTCCTCCCCAGGGCCCTCCCAGGCCCCAGGCCCGTACTCCCCGGCTATGGCGCCCAGCTGTTCTTCGCTGCCGCTGTGGCTGCCCTGACTGCCCTCTGTGCCTGCCTCGCCGCCCTGCCTCTCCAGAAAACTGAGCCGGTGCAGTGCAGCCCCTCCCGCCGGGGACTGCAGGTCTGAGGCCTCCTCCAGCTCTGAGTCGGAGTCATTGGAGGCGACGGGTTCTGAAAAGTCCAAGGGAGAGGGACAGAGATAGAGGGACAGATGGACAGCCTGTGAGCTGGGGATGGAACCACTGGGTATCTGCCTCTGGTGACACCAAGAGGCTCCCCCCCACCCCACCCCAGCAGGCCTGTCTCCTTGCTCAGAACCCTCTCAAGTCAGGTGCAGGGTCTCAGATACTTGGGGTTGTTTCCACATCTGGGTGCCTGTTTCTTGGAGCTGGCAAAACACCTTGAAAAGGTATCTCTTTGCAAGGGTTTGTAATGGATTAAAGACAGGCGACACTTGTGTCTGGGGAGACAGTTCAGTTTGCAGCCCTTGACATGGACCTACTACATCACCCACCATCTGCCCAGTACCTCCAGGGCCACCCCACTCACCAAGGCCCCCGTCCTCAGCCTCTGTCAAGGGAAAGGCTGCATCCCCGCTGCCCCGCCGGTACGGTGCCTGGACCACCACCTCGGGTCGCTGGCTGGATACCCCATCCTGCAGAAGCAGAAGGAGAGGTCAGGGAAGCGCCACGGTTCTGGCCATGCCACATTCCATTTACTCTCTTGTAAGTTAACCAAGTAAAAACCCTAAAAACCATTAGCACCTGCTGCAGCTGAGCGTATGAGGGCCCTCAGCCCCCCATCCCACATCTGGACAGGCAGAGCTCACACAGGGCTGAGTCCCGGTGTGGACACCAGCACTGGGACCACTGTCCTAGAGCTACAAGCAGGCATGTCCCTCCATAGCCTGCCGCCCCTAAAGGCAGCTGCCGGGTTAAAGATGTGCAGTGGGACTGAGCATGGGAGCCAGTGCTGCCTGGAAGTAAGACCCTCTACCAAGCAGAGCAGCAGGCTGGACCCAGCTGAGCTGTGTGGGAGCCAGGACACAAGGACAGGCTACAGGTGGCGCAGAAGTGGGAAACCAGAGGGGCTAGGACGGCTGGTAAAGTGCAGGTGTCATATGAGCTCAGGGGAGGGTGCAGGTTCCATCCACAGGTCTGAACCCACACTTCACCAAGTTCTTTGCTTAAAATGTGCCTTGAATGCCCCGGACAGCCCTGTCCAAGCCAAACATCTCCCAGCAGAAACCCCTGTCTAATCCCCCCATAGGTGAGCAAGGTTCCTAGCCCCCACCCTGCTCAGAGCCCTGCACCCCTTGTCCACAGTGGGCAGCCCTCACCTGGCCCCCTGCGGCCTCTTCGGGTTCCTCCTCGAAGACCAGGCTGAAGTGGGTGATGAGAGTCTCCACAATGCAGGCCTGGTGGGGGTAGTCCACCAGCGAGGAAAGGGACACGGTGGCCTCAGTGGGCCGGGGCCGCAGCAGCGTGGGCCCAAACACAATGCCCAGGTTCCCTGGTGTCATCTTGTTGTCCTGTTCCACCTCCACGATCCTGGGGGGTTGTAGGGTGCAGGGGCAGGTGTGAGCAGCTCCCAGGACCCTGCCACCCTTGACCCCGGCCGACTTGGCCCTCACCTGCGCAGGTGCCGCATCAGGTACCGCAATGTGGCCCAGTTCTCCCGAGGCAGGTCCTGTAGGAGTTCCCGCAACCGGCCTGCCATGGCCATGGCTGCAGCCTCGCTCTCTGTGGCATCTGGCCGACCCCGAGATGCTGCCTTGGCCTCGGCCTCGGCCTTCAGATTCTCTTTGGCCATCCCCACAAGCTCGTGGTAGAGGCGGAAGGAGATGAGCGGCTCAGGCAGCTGCGGGGTGGCAGGTCAGGTGTGGAGGGTCAGTGGTCCTGGCCCACAGACTGCCAGTCCTGCACTGGCCCTGCCCCTGACAGCAGCCCCGCCTCTAGGCACAGGTCCCATCCACTCAATACTTACCACGCCCCAGCTTAGAAACCACACCCCTTCCTAGCGCTGGTCACGCCCCCAGCGGGCTCCCTGTCCAGCCTAGGAACTGCTCTGCCCTGTCACCATCTAGCTCACCTGGCGCAGATAGAGTTTGAGGACATTGCTGATGTCGTGAGGCGAGGCTTGTGACAACTCCACCAGCTCCTTGCCATTCTCGAAGGCCTGGCACAGCTTCTCTACACGTGTCTTCACCCCATTGACCCGGTAGATGCCCTGTGGAAGCCTGCAGTCAGCAGGGGCCTATGCCTCTCCCTCCCTATGCAGTCCCTTGGCTGGAGTCCCTGCCACTGTGCCTGCGGTGGTCACCTTGGTGCGCAGCGCCCGCTGCTCGATCTCAAAGATGCACTTCTTGATGATGAAGGGCACGCCGTCGGGGGTGCTGCAGGCAGCATGGCTGAAGTCCTGGCCAAAGAGCTGCAGGCGGCCCTGCAGCTTCTTGTGGCCACACTGGATGGCTAGGGTCTCCAGGCACTTCTTGTGGCAGGCCAGGCAGCACTAGGGGTGGGCAGTGTGAGTAGCCCTTCCTGGCTTAGGTCCAGCTCAGACACCCCTGGATCCATCTCCTGCCTCAACTCAGCACATACACATACACACACACACACAGACACACCCCACTCCCCCATCCCACCCCATCCCTGACGCCCTGCCACAGTGCAGCTTCTGATTTTAGTATATGTGCTGCCAAAGCGAGCACAACAGTGCAGCTTCTGAAATGGCTTTCACCCTTCAACCTGCGCTTCTCCCACGGCTCTGGCCCCACCTCCAGGCCGCCGGTGCTCTCTCCCAACATGGGATGCACATCCAGGTGCCTGGCTCCCTTGGACCCGACTGGGACCACTCACCTCTTCACATTCGGCGCCCTGGAAGTACACGTAGCTGTTGCACTCCCGGCACTTGGCCGGTGTGCGGAGCTTCCGAAGCCGGTGGGTCCGGGCCGCCTTGGACAGCCCCACGTGGCGGAAGGGCCCGCTGGGCATGGCCACAGGCAGCTCTGGGGTCATGCCGTTGAGCTCAGCTGGTGGGGGAGGGGGAAAGTGGTCAGTGTCACTGAGGGAGGTCAGGGCCAGACCCACAGAGAATCTCCAAAACCCCTCTTTTCCCACTGCCCGTTCAGAGGTTCCCTCACCCTGATCAAAGGTTGACGCCCCCGCACTGCCCTCCTGGTCGGCTAGCTCCTCGTTGGACGACATGGTGCCACAGGAAGACATACGCTCGAACTTCT